GTTCCCGCTCACTGGCTGAGCGAGGCGCGGGAGCAACACCGAGGGTTGCAAACCCGTTGCCGGTCCCCGGTCCAGTACGGGGGCAACACTGAGGGTTGCGATCCGTTGTCGGACACGGAAAAAGACAAAAGACAAAAAAAAAAAAAAAAAGAAAAATGATCACAGAACATTTAAAGTATAAGTGGAAAAACATTCTTTCCTGTGAGGTTTGATGGAGAAGAAACTTCTATGATTCTCCTGTCGATCCTCTTCCTAAAATTACGATGTTGATTTATGGCTCTATTCTAATTGTTTCAATCTATCAACTGTCCCTAAATGGTTCTTAATCAAGCCCTTTAAAATAAACTCCAGGCCACTAAATAAACTCAGAGAGAAGCCAAATTAAACTATGTATGGATAAAATCCTAGCAGTAGAAACATCCGGGTACACCTTGTATCCAAGCCATTTAGGAACCCTCGTCCGCCATTTTGTAGGATAAACGTGAATCTCCAAAGACTCTGTCAACCAGTGCTTGCACATGGTGAACACAAAGGTTAGTGTTCACTTTTGAAGCCAGAGTAATTTACAATTACTTGACGTTTTTATAAGAATTTTGAAGCTAGAAACTCTACACATGGCATTACTTTTGTTTACTTTAATCTATGCTTTCCATGGGCTTTCAATATTGGGTCACTCGAGCTGGCCAGATAGCTCACTTGGGTGCTGATGACACCAAGGTCAAGGGTTTGGATCCCCATGCTGACCAGCCGCTAAAAAACAAATACATTGGAAGACTCAGCAACCGACACCCAGAAAAGGATTTTAAACAATACTTCCCATTAACAATTTTGTTTATTTCCATTTAGAAAATTTCTTCCTTTCTGTCTTCCATCCTTCCACCTCCCAGGTGGTCTAAAAGAATCTTTTGAAAAAGGAGTATGTGTTCTTAATACAAGTCATGTTTTCCTACAGTTGCTGGATGCATATTATTAATTATATAGGGGATGTTTATATTCTATCATGGGTTACAGACAGAACACTTTGTAACACTTCTTGCAAACAGAAAAGTACACACGGTCACCATAAACTACTGCCAGTGACGGAGCAACTCTCTGGCACCCGCCAGCAAGGTCCTGGGCAGACGCTGGGAAGTCCTCAGCGCTGCTCCTCACCCACCTCACTGCTCCTCCTCAGCTCATCCTCCTGGACCTGACTCGCCTGCAATGCCTGTTCACTTCGGCAGAGCTTCTGCTTAGACTCTTCCCAACTTTTTTCTAGCTGTTGCTTGACTGATACGACCTACAAAGAGGAAAAAAGGGCAAAGTTTCATTTTTATGTTCTTTATTTTTCAAACCATCACTGTTTTGATTGAGACATAATATCTAACCTAAAACACCACAATGTGAACCTATGACATCACCTGGCAACGGCATATAGAGACAGAAGAGACTGGGTTTGGAGAGGAAGCCACAAAGGAAAAATATTTAACCACAAAAAAGTGAAACAACTAGATATGAACAAGCAACCAAAAAAAAAAAAAAAAAAGGTGAGATAAAAAACAGACTGTGAGAACATATTTTCAATATATGTAACAAATAAAAAAATTATATCCATAATACAACGGATAAAGCACATCTATAATTCAATTTAGGAAACGACAAAAGTTTTTTTAAAAAGGGCAATGAATAGAAACAAAACTATACACAAAAAACCACAAGTGGCTACTAAAAGAACTTCAGTGGTAAACAAGGGGGTGTGAATTAAAACAATGATAATATGACATTTTTCACTTCTTAGCTGGCAAAGGTTTAAAAACCCTGCTATCTCTGATCAGCAGGAATGGGAGGACACAGGCCTCTTATATCTGGCAGGACAGTAAACTGCTACAACCTTTTTGAGGGTAATCTGGCATTATCTATCAAATGTTAGAACACATGTGCCTGTAAGCCACCAATTTCACATCCAGAAATCTTCCCTACAGACACGTGAGCACACACACACCAACACACCTGGCCCAGCGGTATTACAAACAGGGCTGCAAGGAACGAGAAAACATTGAAACCTAAACACCCATCAATAGGGGACGGTGAAATACACTACAAACATCCAATAACAGCAATCCTCAGACGATACCAAAAGAATGTTCCATTTTAGTTAAGACAAAAACAAAAAACCCCAATCGTATGTTTGTAAATGTATTTTTCAAAAGGCCTTGAAGGACACCCATTAAACTGTTAATAAGAATTTGTCCTGAGAAGGGGAGGGGAGATTTTTTTCCCCTTACCAAACTTGGATGGCTGGATAGAGACGGACGTATCTGAAAGCACTCCAGACAGCTCCGTGTGTGGGAGAGGTGGAAGAATGTCAGCTCGCCCCACCTCAGCTCCTCCCCTCATCCCTGATTCCTCCACTAAGAGAAGTCAGCTGGATAGAGACGGACGTATCTGAAAGCACTCCAGACAGCTCCGTGTGTGGGAGAGGTGGATGAATGTCAGCTCGCCCCACCTCAGCTCCTCCCCTCATCCCTGATTCCTCCACTAAGAGAAGTCGGTGTGTCCTGCTCTATCTCCAGCCTAAGGGTTTTAAGCTATATTTTTCATAAAATAAGAGACTCTACTTAAATGGTAAATCTTTAATTTTAGGAAAGAAAGAAGCAAACACTAAGGGAATAAATTTAACCCTGACAACAGGTAAATACCTGACACATTAAGAGTCAATGAAAATACGTCACTCGCTTTGGCAGAATGGGCCAAGAAAAGAATGAGCTACTGCATATGTTCTGCCACTTTAGAATGATAGATATTTAGCGCTTAAATGCTGTAGACAAAACCCCATCCTCAAGATTTGAGTGATAGAAGGAAGATGATGTAAAAGTAAGCAAACGACTGTATCATCTGTCAGATGATATGGCTATGGAGAAGAATGAAGCAAGCTAAAGGAAAGAGAAGTGCTTGAGGGTGGGGATATTATGTGGTGACCAGAGGCGATTTCATTGGCAAGGTGACACTAGGACAGAAAGCTCAAGAAGTAAAGTCGCTCACCCTGCAGGTCCTTCTGGGGAAAGCACCCCCGGAAGAGGGGGCAGCCGTTGGCATGTGCTCGGTGCGTGCTCAGCCATGGAAAGAAGCCACGTGTAAAGCAGAGCGAGGGAGAGCGGGAGGGATGGTGGGAAGGCCGCCTGGGGCCTACAGGCCTGCAGAAGGACCGGGCTTTCATCTGAGAGAGGTGGGGAGTGACTGCAGAGTTTCGAGCAGAGGAGCAACATACTCTGACTTCCACGATAAAAGGCTCACTGTGGCTGCTGGCTGAAAACAGGCTGGAAGGAGGCCCGTTTATAGGGGAGGGCCCATTTATAGAGGCAGTGAGAGCAGGGAGAAGGCTAGGACGGTCATCCAGGTGACAGAGGATGGCGGCTGAGACCAGGGTATGGAACCCAAAAAGTGAATATGAAAAATTGTCATTAGGGCCAACCCGCAGCTCACTTGGGAGAGCGTGGTGCTGACAACACCAAGTCAAGGGTTAAGATCCCCTCACTGGTCATCTTTAAAAAAATAAAATAAAAATAAAAATCATTATATTCGGTAGAAAATGTCAAGAGAGACATCACAGTTGGGTTTATTCTCAGCAGGGAGGGAGGTGTTCTCAGCTGGTGGTAAGTTTCTAGGAAGGGTGACTAGATTCTATGTCCTGACATAGACAACGGTCATAAGAGAATGTGCCATATAGTAATGTATTGAGTTGTACATTTGTTCTATATGGAATTTGTATTTTAACATAAAAATGCTTCAATATACTAAATATCATACACATAAACATATACACGTACAGGTATACACATACATATGCAAACACGTGTGTGTGTAAACAAAGGCAGAGTCCACAGTTTTAATGGACTAGCCTCAGGTGGAGGGAAAAAGAAAACCTGAAGGTGACATGATCTTTTGGCCTAAGCAATGTGGAGAACGGAACTGCTATTTACTGGACAAGAAGACTAAGGGAGGAGCAGGTTTAAAAAAAAAAAAAAAACAGCTGGAGCTGAGCTGCTCACATGGGAAGTGTGACAGCACAGGCACGAAGAAGATCAAGTCCACACAGGGCTGAGGTTCGGAACAGACGTCCCGGCCGACATCACAGATGGGTGTGGCAAGCTGTGACACTGGAGGAGGTCACCTTTGCAGTGAGTCTTAAGTAAACTGATTACAACTGTCAGTGCTTTAACTACTCAGGGGCATGAATTACTTGGGCCAGCACCCACCTGGTCACACGACCCACCAGAATACCAGAGACCTGCACAGAAGGCCAGATCTGGAGCCCTAGCCCACCCTTTCTCTGGACGAGAGGACCGAGTCAGGCTGTCCTGTGTGCTTTCCACTGTGATGGGGAAGGGAAGTGAGGATGGAGCGTTATTAAGAGCGTCCCGTGTCATCTGTGTTGGAGGAAAGCAGGCGTCAGGGAAAAGGCTTGGGGGAGGGCAGCACGGCCACCCACCTTGTCCAGCTCGGCCTGCAGGGCACCATGGGCGCTCCGGGCCTGCTGCAGCTCCTGGCCCAGCCTGGCCGTTGCCTGCGCGCACTCTCGGTCCAGTGTCTGGAGGGACCGCTGCTGCCGGGACAGCTCCTGCAACACAGAGGACGGTGACAGTTAGCAGGGGAGACCACGGGGTGACACGCACCCTGACGGGCAGTACCGACAGCACCAGAGAGGGCAAGGAGCCACGCGACCGTCAAAGGGCGGTCACAGGAGCAGCCTGAGCGCCGGTCCCAGTGATGCAACCCAGGCCTCAGAGGGGAGGGAAAGGGTCCCGAGTGAGCCATCTCTATCCTGAAGGACCAGGTGAGAGAGAAGAACCGAGCCGCGGCGGCCACACTCAGCTGGGACAGACACACTCAAAAAGGGGATCAGAACATCAAAAGCCATACACCACGTACGACAGACTCAAAGTCAGACGGACAGGGAGTACATGCCCCCGATGAAGTGTGACAACGACAGGATACCCAGTAACATTTCCAGTCACTCTTAGTAAGACTACCATCTCTCAATGTGTACGACATACTTCAGGCTAAGTCACCTGAAAGAACCAAAGTGGTGGTGATAGCTGTGGAAGGACATCCTCCTTCCCCACCACAAACGCCATTCTGGGTCAGCCACCAACCCACGGGCCTAAGAACAACTGGGGTGTGATGCAGCTTCCTTCACAGCAGAGGGTTCCAGAGAGGAAATATCATCCCTCCCACTTGGTACCAGACCTCAAACAAATCAGAAAACATGACTAAAAAAATATTCTGGTACCTAATTCCCTCATTCCATTAAAAACTGAAAGATGGAGGAAGTTCAAAAATGAAAATGTGAAGGAAGACAAGCGACTTTTTGCTCGCAAAGCATTACCTCTAATAGAATTTCCCAAATTAAGATAAACAGCTCCGTGCTTCACATGATCAAACTACTGAAAGCCCTCAAGAGCCTTTTGGACAACCTCCTCACAAATCCATTTCCTTTACCTCTTGAAACTCCTTTTCTTTTTCCTTGATTTTCTGTTCCAGAGAACATCTGACACTTTCGGCATTTTGTCGCTGACAACTCAAATCTTCGGTCAATTTCTTCAGTTTTTGTTCCAAGTCAGTACACTAACAAAAATGTTCAATACAAAACAAAATTCATTCAAGTAAAGAGGCAAATACTTTGTGACTCAGAAAAGTTAGTCCCTAGATCTACTTTAAGTTTGCCATTGTTTCATTTTTATTTCCTAAAAAGTTGTGTTTAAAACAATTACCCAAGTACTAAACCCACTTTCATTATTTTGGCACACATAAAATTTATATTTGGGGAATATTAGCAAGAATGCAAAGCATTAACCCATTTAAATAAATACTTCCTAATTTGTGCTATGAAAAAAGAGATCAGCGTGTCTAGTGATTGTGTTGCATGGAAATGAGGGGTTAAAGTGCAGGGGTGCTGACCTGTGCAAACAGAAGGCAGTAAAAGAATCAGAGGGTACCCGTCACCCTCGCATGACAGTCTGTTTTAAGCATAATGGATTTTGTGGGAATTTTCAAATTTTAAAATGCTTCTTTCCACAATATTCCCACTATGCCATTTTAAATGTCTGGAGGTTAACAGCACTCCAGAGAATGTCACAGCCGGTTTTTAAACCAAGCTGCCATAAGCGACACAAAGAACATTCAATTGCCTTTTTACATAGCCAGTTATTCTGGAAATAATTTTTACAATGTCAACTACATGAAAATTTAGGATGCTCTTCTAGAATTAGAATGGAACAAAATGGTCTTAATTCTTCAAGTGTTGAAACCCATTCCTCTGTACAGTTCCCACGGGCTCAAATCCTTAAACTGCCCTACAAAACGCCTCTAGAGACCCAGGGAGTATTAAGACAACTTCATATTGGTGGGGAAGAATTCCCTACTTCAAATGAAATACGCCACAATTTGGCAAATATCTCTACTCGTGTATTTCCTTGAGACTCTTCAAAGTCTGAAGAAGTATTAGAAATTCACCTGAGAATTCAGAGGAAAATAAAACACAATGTAATACTTTGCCAGCAGACCAGTCAGTAGCCAATCATTAAGTAACAAAAGCTGGTCACTAATGTCTAAATGATATTGCAACTATCAGAACTTTAAAATACCAAATTCAGAAGGTAAAATTTTGAGCCAGTGCTTCAAATTAATCTACTGCCTTGGACATTAGGGCAACTTTGTTCATTGTATTTGAATTGTCTTCATTGTCTTTGAATTTTTAAATGCCCAAGGAAAAGTATTAGAGAGATTATTTATAATAATAAATATGAATTATACAAATATTTATTCAGCACCTACTATATGTCAAGCACTGTTCTAGGCACTGGGGATACAGCAGTAAACAACTCAGACAAAATCACTGCCCAAATTATGGTGCAAAATTTTGATGGTGGACAAATCCCAGGAAGAAAAAACAAAACCCTCCTGGCAAGGTAAATGAATGAACCCTTGGCGCCCTCTACTGCCAATCTTTCAAACTGCAACAATCCACTAAATCTCAGAATCAACAATCCTTTCCTAAAAGACATAGTAGGTTAATAGAGTCATTACAAGGTATTTATATTTTATTTTAAATTCTTTTAAATGACATTGTGCTATGAGCGACGCACAATCCACATAAGAGTGGTTGACCACTAGGTGTCATGAATGCTCCATAATACTCTAAAGTAGTGTCCAGAGCTCAAGTCCCTGAAAATATGTAGCATATGACCCTGGGCACTCTCTCCCTTAAGCTCTCTGAGCCTGAGCTTTTCATCTGTGAAATGCGGATGCTGAACCCCAGGTTTGCTGCCAGGCCAACATTCTGTTTCTACATGAATTCAAAGCCTTGGTTCCCACACAGTTTATAAATACTTGGAAAAGACGCATACTACAAACAGTGTATGTTCACTTAAGAACAGGGTGTTTCTTTTTGTGACATTAACTCCATTTTGTTTAATAGATAATTCTAATGGGAGATCAGGAAACAGCGTAAATAAACATAGCATAATTTTATTTCTGCAACACGTGACAAAGTCATATTATCCTTAGAGACAAGACAGAGAAAGGTAGATTGGATTTGTAGCTCACTGGAAACAAAGGAATCCAGAAAGCATTGGACAAAGGAGTCTTTAGAACCTGGAGGGAAGTATCTAATAGAAAGAAAGCCAGAGCTGTGTTCTCAGCACTGTCATAGTCAAAAATTTTAATTCATGATCTAATGAGAAGAAACCTCATCAAATATGTCAGATAGTACAAGGATTTATTTGGTGAGCTTGTCTCACCAAAACCAACAAGGTAAAATGTAAAATTATAAATGTAACTTTTATACATAGGAAGGCCAGCTTGGCAGAAATGCAACAAAAAATTGGCTTAATTGACTAGGAACCCGATAATAAACTGTGATAACAATAGCTAATATTATTATTATAAGTTCCCAAGGTGCCAGGTACTATGCTTAAGGTCTTTACAAAAATTATCTCAGTCTTTACAACAACCCTATGACACAGGCATTAATATTAACACCATTTTATTGGTTAGGCAACTGAGGCCCAGAATTTAGTTAAATAGCTCCAAAGGCAACACAATTGGGATGTGACAGAGCCAGGGCTCATATCCAAGTCCTTCTAACTTAAAAGACGGAATTACTATTACAAACTCAGATTACATGAAGAGAATAAATTCACAGTTCCCATTGAAGATCCACTGCTCTTTCATACATCTAATCAATACTTATCCAGAATTTCTCTATGTAAAGCATTGTACTAGCAGAATATATTTTTAAGAACCTGACTTCTGCTCCCAGGAAGATGGAATAGACGTACTTTTCTATTCCTCCCAACAAGAACAAATAAAAACCCAGGACATGAAGAGGGTACTTTTAAAAATTCATGGAAAGGTTCACATTATCTTTTAATTCAATTTTCCCACAAGCTTTTTGAAGTACGCTTGTGTAATAGGCTTTCCTTCTCTTCTTCATTTTAAAATAAGTTTGACAGTTGAAGCAAAACTTATACCACTATCTGATGTAGCTCTAAATGTATGTAAGGAAAACATTTAAGACAATTAAAGGCACGCATTGCTTAATGGAGGGGTATGTTCTGAGAAATGGGTCATCAGGCGATTTTGTTGTTGTACGAACATCATAAGAGTGTATTTACACAAACCTAGATGGTATACTCTACCACATACCTAGGCTACACACTATAGCCTTTTGCTCCTTTCCAGCCTCACTACAAACACATGAGGAATGCATTGCACTACAACATTATGTCATTACAAAGGCTATTAGGCAATAGGAATTTTTCAGCTCAATTGTCTTATGGGACCACCACCATATGTGATCCATTGACCAAAACATCACTATGCAGTACATGACTGTATATTATAAATGGAAAAGGGTAAAAGGATGTAAAGAGAGGTAAATTTTCTATAATTTTATGAGAGCTGGTAAACTGACAACACCAATAAACTGTGATAAAGTGCATATGTATGGTATAATATCTAGATCACTATAAAATCTCTACAAAGAGATTAACTCAAAAACACTGTAAATAAATCAAAACAGAATTCTAAAAAACGTTCAAATAACCCACAGAAAGCCAGGGGGGAAAAAGAAACAGAAAACAAAAACTAAAGTGGCAGACTTAATTTATGACCTATCAATGATTACATTAAGTATAAATGGTCTAAATATACCAATTAAAAGATAGTAGAAGAGTAAGGTAAAGAACATGACCCAACTATATCCTGTCTACACAAAACTCACTTCAAATATAACGATATAGGCAAGCTGAAAGTAAAAAACAGGAAGAAATACATCATACAAACGTTAATCAAAGAAACCTGGAGTGGCTGTATTAATACCAGATAAAGCAGACTTCAGAATAAAAGAAAAATTACCAGGAACACTAAGGGACATTATACAACAAAAGGGCCAATCCACCAAGACATAGCAATCATGTGCACCAACCACACGGCAAAATATGTGAAGCAAAAACTGAAAGAACGGAAAGGAGAAACAGATACAGCCCCAGGTACAGTTGGATTCATCAACATCCTTCTCAACAATGGATAGAACAACTAAACAGAAAATCAGCAAGGATATAATGAACTCAACATCATCATCTACCAACAGGATCTAATGACATTTTTCTGAGAGCAAAATAAACCTAAAGGAAGCAGAAGGAAATAACAAAGAACAGAGATCAATAAAATTGAAAACAAAAAATAACAGAAAATCAATGAACCAAACAGCTGATTCCTCAGAAAAGTCAGTAAATATCAACATAACTGACAAATCTCTAGCAAGACTGGCAAAGAGAAAAAGAAAAGACACAAAACGCCAGTATCAGAAATGAATAGGAAATATCACTACAAACATCAAAAGAATAAGGGAATACAATGAACAACTCTCTCTCTCTCTATATATATATATACATATAAGTCTGACAACTCAGATGAAAATACAGACTATTGGAATGTATTTTCATCTAAGTTGTCAGCTTTATGTATATAGAGTATTTTAATAGCT